CGCTGCGGCTGGCGCCATGGTGCCCAACCTTGGCGCTGCGGCACCCAGCAGTCTTCTTCCGGAGCGCCACGGCGCTGTCCTGCTACACAAGGCTGCTGTGCAGCCCACTTTGCACCAGTTTTCTCCTTCTTCGTGGCTGTTTTTTTCTTGCTCTTTTCCTTGGCTTTTCTTCGTGCATGATTAGGCTCCACATCTTCAACAGTGGCTACCTCGAGCATTTCACTTCATAAGGTGATTTTTTTATTTTTTTTTATTTTTTATTTTACAGAAGGCTGATTAAGATGATGACCGTTATTAATATAGTAATTGGGTTCCGCGAATATCTGCAGTTTTTTAGAAAATATGTTTTAGACAACGTTTTCTTTTCAAAGCTTGTATCTTTACTACTGACTATAAATTCAGTCTATGTATTTGTCCTTTTTGGTTGGTTGTAATATTTATGTCTCGTTCATTTTGTTGATTTGAATTTAGAATTTAAGTTGAGATGTAATTTTATGTGAAAATTTTTTATTATAGTAAAAAAATTAGATATAATTATTTGTGAGAGTTTTTTACTGTAGAAAAACTCAAATTCTAAATTCGAATCAGCGAAGTGAACGCCTTAGTCTTCCTTGTTTTGTTGGTTTATGATTTTTTAACTCAACTTCTTCTGGTGTTATTTTAAATATTGTGATGTTTTGCTTTTTGTCCCTTTGTTTGGTGCTTCCAGCATTGAACATATTCACCTACTCTGCACTCCATATGCTCTGCAATCTGCGCTGCCGATGAATCCTCTGCAGATTCGAACAAATCTTAGCCGTCTGATGGCCAGATCGTGATCATCCGCGGTACTGGAGGCCAAATCGCTTATAGAGCCGTCGGCATTCAGAAGCTCAAAGTGTATGTAGTTTCTTCTTCATTGCCGATAAACATTGCAGAAAGCTGAAAAAAGCACCTTTTGTTGCTCTGGATTAGATAAGATCATGATGACTTAAAAATCTAGCCCTAATTATGTGAAAAAAAAATGGTTTCTTTTCTTTATCTCGACTTTAAAATGGTCTCTTTATCCTGTCACTTCTCCAATTCTAGGGATTTTTTGTGTGGGTTTATAGAGTAAATAATTTGTTAGAAATTACTAGCAAATTAGCAGGCTTTCTAATTTGGCCAATAGTTGTGGCATTGCATGGATATTTATTACCGTAGAGGAAGAAGACAAGAAGCTTCTTAGTTTTCTTTAGAGATGACATTTCATAGTGTTTCATTAAAAGTTTGATGCTTTAAATTGTGTTTGGCTTGACAGCTGTAATTTAATTGGGCTAGATATTGATGGTAAGCTATAAACCGTGGTTAAAAAAGAACAGCATATTAGGCACAATTTTAGTGTAGATGGGTAAAATTCAGTTCAGTGAATTTGATAGTATACATTAGTATAGATTGGTCATAGTCGAATTATGGGAATCATTATCTAATTACAAAATATAAATTTGCTTGCTTAATCTGATCTCATTCAGGTTTAGAAATGTGCATGATAAAGGAGGCAAAACTAAAATCTGTATGTATTTTGTCTTCTTGTTAGTTCCTAGGTTTTTACCAAGGGACAAAATATTGCCTTGTGGTTCCGTTCTGAATGAGTTGTCAAACATTTTTCTTCATACTTAACTACTATCTTTTTTAAAAAAAAAAAATTTATAGGGTGCTAATATGGTTGAGTTTTTCTTTTGACAGGATATAAAGCTTGATGATCTAGAAACCGGCCATTTTGTCCTCGTTGACATATGTGGATTTGGTGCTTGGTGTTGGTATTACAGCACTTTTAGAAGAAGCAGGTTTCAAAGTTACTGCCATGGACTTGACTGCTTCTGGAATTCACTCATCTGATTCGAATAGCATTACAAACCTTTCACAATATCGATATGTGGAGCCCCTTGCTGATTTTCTTGAAAATCTTGCTGAGAGAGAGAAGGTAGTTGAAAGTGCAATACATGAGTAGGCCATGTGTTTAAATCAATTAAGCTACCATCAGTTTGGATGAATTAAAGGATGGTCATGAGTACCTTTCAACTAGAAGGGCTCTGGACATAATCAGAATTAGTTATTGTGTCCCATTTTTCGGGCTGTCCATAGATGTACACTCCAGGTTACACCCAATCATTATTTTTTTTTTCTTTTTCCTGCAACCAAAAAAAAAAAAAAAAAAAAAAACAAAAAAAAAAATTCGTTTTTCTTCACTGGATGATAGTAAAATTGTTACATTTTTTTTTTTTTTTGAAATTTTGATGCCTGGACTTTCTTATCTGCAAGCGATATATTTTATAGAATGTTTTGATTCCCTTCTTTGCTCGGAACAAATTTAAGTGGTGTTTTAGTCCTCAAAATTGCAATATCTTTTTGTCGGGTTTGTGTTACTATTGATCATATGACTGCAAAAACATTACTGCAGGTTTAAAGTTTATGGAAGATAAAAAATGGGGATATTTCAAATTTGTATAAAGACGTGTAGAAACTCAAGGATGAGTTTTGTTGTGTGGGAAAAATTCATACTGACACGTCGAACAATGATCATGCCATACGTGGCTCCACGCCTGCCACGTCAGATAGGCCCCGACGCCTGAGGCTCATTTTCCTTTCCCACATGGTATGGGAGCTGAGTGCATAAGGGGGGTTTGAGGCCGCCGACCCTATACACAGTCGAGACCTGTGAGACCAGTTAATACAAGTAACGTGATAGGGTCGACCGAGAGAAAGGCCACGCATGGCAAATTTTGGCATGGGCGCAGATGGCAGAACGTAAGCAAGTGGACCCACATCCCAAGGAAGACCCCTGAGGTAATTAGCTGGATATCCCGAGGTTGCGTTTGGGCTTATAGGAGGTCAGTTGCACAGGAAATGATTACGAGCCCCTAAAAATCACCTGGAACGGATCACTAGCTATTACAGAGGATCTACAGAGCCATAATAGGGGGACAAATTGGATGAGTAAACAGTCCAAAAGGTACTGACAGGCTACGGTCTAGACAAATGAGGTAATAGACTACTCGAGTGAATGGGCCTCCTGGAAGAGACAGTCAAATGGTCCAAACAGTCTACTGTTGGGCGAGGCACAGATGGAATGCAGGCTATAAAAGGGGGAAAACCCCCAAGAGAGGAGGAGGATGATGATTCTCCATTTGTCTAATTTGTAAGAACCAAACGAGACAAATATAATACAGTGGATGTAGCTCTTTTTCAGAAAGGTGAACCACTATAAAACCTCTGTGTCTTTATTTTCATAAGCAATATAACAGTTTCTTCACAATACATCCAATACACCAATACAAACTCTAGCATATTCAGTTTAATTACAAGTTTCAAACCGGTAACCCAACGGGCTACCGCAGGGTAATCCGATACGGTCTTGTTGACAAAATTTAACCATCAACAATTGACGACTCCACTGGGGACCGAACCTAGAATTTCTGGTTCACGCATTTGACCCCAGATAATCAGCAATCATGCCTCCAAGAAGAAGAAATGGCGATACAAATCAAAACAGCCAAACGGAGGAAAATACCACGCATCCAACCAACAATAGGGGTGGGAGAAATCAGCCCGACCAGGGGAATCAACCCCCGGCGAGGGATGAAGCTCCACCTCCAGACATGCCACAGCTTGATCCGGTACAGATGCAAGCCCAGCTGAACACTCTGACCGACTTGGTTCGAGGACTAACGACCATTGTCGAGCGGTTAGGCAGGAGAAACTCTATGCCTCCCTTGGAAGATGCCTCGAGACGAACAGGAGCTGCCATGGCTAGGAACCAGAATGCTGGTGACCGTCAAGGTGCTCCGAAAGGGATCGGGGATAGTGAAAATGTCAGGGGAGATAACCTGAGACCTCGACTGTCCAAGTCACTTGGTAGCCGACAGAGGGCTGCCAGGCAACGAACCCAGGAGAGAAGAGCGCACAGCGGCCTGGAAAACCCTAAGGCACCCCCTTGGAACCTGGGAAAAAATATCCCAGGAGATTTCAGGGTCAGTGTAAGAAGGTGGAGACCTGAGGGATAAGCTGAATACGAAAAAGGCAGGAGCCTCGAAAGGATTCAGCTCTGCAATCTCTACGGAAGAGGCTAGAGCCATTATGGAGCGTGTGATGAGCCTAGAAGAAAAGCTCACGGGTGACGTCACCGGTTTAAAGAAGGACGTCAAAAGCCAGGCGAGCCATCTACAAAAAAACGTAGGACAGGTGGTGGAGGTGGTCAACGTCGACATCACCCCCAGCCAAACTCACTAGCACCCTTTCACCGCAGAGATCATGGCTCCGCCTTTACCTGACAAATACAAGTACCCGACAATCCCACCGTATGACGACAGAAGGGACCCCGACGACCACCTGGAAATGTACACAGGGCACATGCTTCCGCCCGAAGATGGTTCCGGACACTCAAACCAGAGTCCATCTCTAGCTGGGAAGAGTTGAAAGAATCCTTCTCCCTTCAATTCATTAGGGAAAATAAGTATATCCCGCCAAAGTAAAACCTGACGATGGTATACCAAAAACCAAATTAGTCATTAAAAAAATGACTTGCAAGTTACGGGGAAGCCGTCGCCGCTACAACGGATATGACAGACCGAGAGGCTCTGATAGGGGCCCTGTCCAGTATGAAAAAGACCACGCCATTTAAGGATGACCTAAACTGAAAGCCACTGGCCACCTACAAAGAATTTCTGGCACGAGCACAGGGGTATATCAACGCTGAGGAAGCCGATACGAATGATCCCGAGCACAAGTCCAATAAAAACAAAGGAACAGAACAATGATCGACCTCAGGGAAGCAAGAGAGTCGAAAATGACGAGGCGGGGAAAACGGAGATGAGCAGACCGCATCGGCGCCAAACCCTCCGAAAATAAAGAAGCCGAGGCAAGTGGAAAATCGAAAGCGTCGGCCGTTCCAACGGTATGACTCCTATCACGAGCTTACTGTAGGTGTCAAGGAAGTATTCAATCAGGTCGGATGAGGAAACTTACTACGCCGATCGGAACCAATGAAGTCAGATCCCAATCGAAGGAATCAAAGTAAGTATTGCAAGTTCCACGGTGACGTCGGCCACAACACCAACGAGTGCGCCGACCTAAATGATGAAATCGAAAGGTTAATCCATGAAGGAAGGCTGCGAGAGTTCAAGGCTAAAAGGCGAGGCCATGACCCCAGGAATGACGGTCGAAGCTGGGAGGACAATCGGCGGGGAGAAGACCGCGAACTAATCGATGTCATAAGAACCATACATGGAGGACCGTACCTCGGGGGGGATTCGAGGAGATCCCAGAAAAGTTACGCCCACGAGGCAAGACAGGTGTACCAGGAGAGGTTCTGGAACCTCTCGACCACCAAATCAGCCAAGACGACAAAATTCGATAGTGTTGAAGTAGCTTTCACCGAGGAGGATGCAAATGGTGTCCATTTCCCACATAACGATGCCTTGGTAGTGGAGGCAGTAATTAGAAACCACACCGTGTGCATGATCCTGGTAGACAATGGAAGCTCGGTGGACATCTTATACTCTGATTGCCTGGAAAAAATGGGGATCCCAAAGGAGCAATTGGAGAAAACGTCTCTGCCATTATTCGGGTTCACAAGGGACTCAGTTATCCCCGAAGGAATGATTTGGCTACCCATCACCGCGAGAGAAAAGCCTAGGCAAGCAACCATGATGGCAAACTTTTTGGTGATAAAGGGGGGCTCACAGTATAACGCCGTAATTGGGAGGCTGACCCTTCAGGCACTAAGGGCGATAACCTCCATCTATCACCAAAAGGTTAAGTTTCCAACCCCCAATGGCATAGGCAAGATGAAGATCAATCAGTACGAATCCAGGATTGCATACACAGATGCCCTACACGGGTACGATCAACCAAGGAGACAGGAAGCTATGATGGTACACCAAGGTGCGGTCGAGGACATAGATCCTAGAGTCACGGAGGAAACCTGGTCCTAACCAATCGAGCAGTTGGCGGAAGTCCAGGTTGATCACGAGGAACCAACAAGGGTACTGAAGATAGGATCGAATCTGTCTTCGGCGCTCAGAATCGAGGTCGGAGAGTTCTTGAAGAAAAATATGGATGTGTTCGCCTAGACACATGCAGACATGGAAGGCATCGACTCCCTAGTCATGTGCCACGCTCTGAACGTCGACCCCACATATCACCTAAAACATCAAAAACGCCGACTGATGAATCCAGAGAGGTACGAGGCGTTAAAGGAGGAAGTCGACAAACTCATCAATAATGGTTTCATAAGGGATGCTCACTACCCTAGATGGGTTTCAAATCTGGTCCTGGTAATCAAACCTAACGGGACGTGGAGAACATGTGTTGATTTCAACGACCTCAACAAAGCTTTCCCAAAAGACGGTTTCCCACTCCTTTGAATATATCAGATGGTCAACGCCACTGTCGAGCACGAGCTGTTAAGTTTTATGGACACCTACTCTGGCTATAATCAAATTCCAATGCATCCATCTGATGAAGAGCATACGTCATTCATAACAGACAGGGGCCTTTATTGTTACATGGTAATGCCATTTGGCTTAAAAAATGCAGGGGCAATGTAGCAGAGGCTAGTAAACAAGATGTTTACTAAACAAATCAGAAGAATAATTTAGGTATATGTTGATGACATGCTGGTAAAAAATGTCAAGGCAAGACAACACGTTGACCATTTGGGCGAAATGTTTGATGTACTAAGAAAATATTGCATGAAGCTAAACCTTTTGAAATGAACCATTGGGGTCGAGTCAAGAAAGTTTCTTGGCTTCATGGTCAGTAACCGAGGAATATAGGCTAACCCGGAGAAGGTAAAAGCTTTACAGGATATGAGGTCTCCCACGAAACCAAAGGAGGTCCAAAGGTTGACAGGATGCGTCGCCGCCCTTAACAGATTCATATCTAAGGCGACGGATAAATGTGTTTCCTTCTTTGATGCCTTAAAGGGAGGCAAGCATTTTGAGTGGAAACCGCGATGCGAAGAGGCCTTTCAAAGGCTGAAGGAGCACCTTAGCAGACCTCTAATCCTATCAAAACCTATACCGGGCGAGAAGCTGAGCTTATACCTATCCGTATCAAAACATGTCGTAAGCTATGTATTGATCAGAGAAGAGGGGATCCAATTTTCAGTTTACTACGTAAGCAAAAGGCTCATAGATGCCGAGTCAAGATATACCCAGATGGAACAATTAGCTCTCACCTTAATGGTGGCCTCAAGGAAGCTTCGGCATTATTTTCAGGCCCACACTGTACGAATCCTAATGAACCACCCATTGAGGCAAGCTTTACAAAAGCCTGAAACCTCAGGTCGACTCTTGAAATGGTCGGTGGAGCTAAGCTAATTCGACATTGAATACGTACCAAGGGCGGCGATCAAGGGACAAGCATTGGCGGACTTCCTGGCATAGTTCTCCCACGGACCGACATTAGCCACCGATGTAGAAATTAAGGAGATATGATGGAAGCTTTACGTAGATGGAGCGTCAAATGAAACCGGGTCAGGAGCAGGCGTCATGCTAGTAAGCCCAGAAGATCACAAAATTACCTCGGCGGTACGATTCAAATTCAGGGCATCAAATAATGAAGCGGAATATGAGGCGCTGGTCGCAGGATTGCGGTTAGCAAGTCACTTAAAGATTGAAAGACTTGAAATTTTCAGTAACTCTCAATTAGTGGTCGGGCAGGTAAATGAAGAGTATCAGGCTCGCGGAGAAAGGATGAGGGCCTATCTGAGGAAGGTAAAGAAGAGCTTGTAAAATTCAAAAGTTATGAGATACAGCAGGTGCCAAGAGCTAAGAATACAAACACCGATGCCTTGGCCAAACTGGCATCCTCGAAGGATTTTGACCTAATAGGGGTCGTCCCCATCGAAGAACTGGAACGACCGACTATTGACGAGGCAGTAGAAGTCTTGACAATTCAAGCAGCTGGGAACTGGATGACACCACTCGTCCGATATTTGATGAACGCATAGCTACCCAACGATAGAGACAAAGCCAGAAGGATCAGGTACAGAGCTGCCAGGTACCTATTATATGATGGTTTGCTATACAGACGATGCTTCTCAATGCCTCTGCAGCGGAGCCTAGATGATCATGAGGCGCAAGAGGTCTTCCAGGAAATCCATGAAGGAGTGTGTGGTAATCATACTAGGGGGCAATCTTTAGCTCTTAAGGTTTTGAGACAGGGGTACTATTGCCCCATGCTTAAAAAAGATGCGTTTCAATACGCTCAGTGTTGCAATAAGTGCTAGTGATATGCCATGGTTCCTAGAGCTCCCTTAAAGAACCTAACTTTCGTTATTAGCCTATGGCCTTTTGCCAAATGGGAGATCGACCTGATCGGACCTTTACACCTCGCACCCGGAGGGCTTAAGTTTGCCATCGTCGCTGTGGACTACTACACTAAATGGGCCGAGGTGAAAGCTCTTACTTCGACCACCGAGGTATCCTGCACTAGCTTCATATGGAACAACATTGTATGCAGGTTTGGCGTTCCACATTCAATCGTGTCTAATAATGGGAAGCAGTTCGACAATGCCTCGACGCGCAAATTCTGCGGGGATCTAAGCATACGAAAGGACTTCTCAGCTCCAATACATCCGCAGTCTAATGGGTAAGTTGAGGCCATCAACAAAATCCTAAAGTATACCCTGAAGAAGAAGCTCGATGACTTAAAGGGAAAATGGGCCGAAGAACTCTCAAAAGTCTTATGGGCATACAGAACAACGAGTCGAACTACCACGGGTGAAACATTATTCGCTAAGGCGTACGAAATCGAGGCTATACTCCCTGTGGAGATTGAGACGTCGACTCTAAGAATGATCGTGTACAACGACGACACAAACCTAGAAGCCATGAATAGAGAACTTTACCTATTGGAAGAAAAAATGCTCAATTCTCAATTATGACTCGCCGCTTACCAACGGAGAGCAGCGCGATACTACAATAAGAAGGTCAAACAAAGAAGGTTCGTCCAAGGAAATCTGGTATTAAAAAGGGTGATGCAAAAGACTAAACCAAAAAATACTGGTCCCTTGGGCCCGACTTAGGAAGGACCCTACCGCGTTCTGGAAAGCCTCGCCGGCAAACGGATTCAACACCCATGGAATGCAGAGTAGTTAAAACTGTACTACCAATAGTGTACGAATTTTTACACGCTTTATTTGTGTTTGACATTCTGTTAATATAAACGAAGCTTATTCATAGCAAGTGTCCAAAAGAATGCAAAGAAATTAACCCCTTTATAACATGCCCGCCTAAAAATCATGGTTTTCAGACAGACATGAGGGGCAGCTTGGGTTTACAAGCTAATATATATATATATATATATATATATATGTAAACTTCTTAGAATTGCGCCAAAGACCCCAAGGGGTAATCAGAAAGCTAACTCTTCTAAGGAAGAGAGGCTTTAATGCTTGGCACAATTCTTAGATTTGTGCAAAAAGCTCCAAGGGGCATTCAGAAAGCTGACTCCTCAAAGGAGGAGAGGCTTTAATGCTTGGCGTAATTCTTAGATTTGTGCCAAAAGCCCCAAGGGGAGTTCAGAAAGCTGACTCCTCCAAGGAGGAGAGGCTTTAATACCTAACAGATTCATAAATTCACTAAGGGTCCCAAAAGGCGCTCGGAAGATCAAAGGTTACCCTCTTTAGAGGAGTTAATCGAAGACCCTTTGTGTATAATTATTATAAAGTAGATCAATAAAGAAAAATGAAGTCATAATAAAAATAATAATGTACATATAGGATAAAAATCCATTGTCTAGAAAGCAACAAACAATATTACAAAAATAGAAATTATGGATCGGCGCCCAGCATCCTAGGCTTTGTCGCCTCCACCACCTTGACTGCCCTCACAACCATCAGCTGCAGCTTCCCCAGCTCCGCCACTGCCCTCGTCGCCCCTGCCTTCGGCAGGAAAACCTTCATCGTTAGAAGGGGGCTTGGAGAAGAAGTCCAAGTTGAAGCCAGGGAGGTGCCTGTTAATTCTAGCCACAATTTACTCGCCAACAGACAACATGTCACTGGCACGCATATTATGTAACTCTTCGGAGGATTTGAAATCCTCGATGACCTTAGCAGCAACATCTGTGTTATTCTAAGCAAATTCAACAGAGGCTACAAACTCCTTGACCCCCTCCTCCTTACCCAGGTCGTAGCCATCCTGCTTGCCTAGGTTGTATCCTTTTTTCGGAAGACATCATCGGAGTTAGCAGCTTGGTTACAGAATACCTTGACGCTCTTTTGGGCATTCTGTAGATCAACTTTTGCCGCCTCTAGCTCATTGACGATGAGGGCAAGCTTCTTTGAGGTCTCCTCATTATTGTCTCTCTCCTTTCTGAGGAGAGCCTTCAAGGACCCCTCAATGCGGTCCATTCCCTTACTTCTCTCTTTTACCTTAACCATATCGATAAAGTTAAGGAGAGAGAGGACAACGGACTGCCAAATCAGAAGAAATCTATTAAAAAGAAAGAGAGAGAAAAACAAAAATGCATATAACATATAGGTGACGAAGTATACATGGATCTGAAGAGATACTGTTGACGCGTACGGCCGATCAGAGAAGCCCGAGTCGCGCTCTCCCAGTCCTGCTTAAAAAAGGACTCGTATAAAGCCTAGAAGATGTCGGAGAAGCGCGGGGACAGACTTAGTGCCGCCTTCATCTGGGCTGGAAGGACGTCGGCAACAATGACCTATGGATCTAGGACCCTTACCCCGGGAAGCAGCAGGCGTTCTTTGGGCGGAAGGGCCTCGGGAGCATCAGTAATATTGATCACTGGCAATGGCTCAACCTCCACTGCCGGTATTTCTGTCGGTCGAGGCCACTTCGGCCTCGATGTCTCCTGTGTAACTGAAGGCGCTACTATAGGCTGAGGCCTCAATGGGACATTGGCCGCAGCAGCCTCTCTCGGCCTCTCACGAGGCCTCTGCTTCTTAGAGCACCCCTTGTCG